GAGGATAATTTGCTTCCTTGGATTTCTCTGGCCTCGTCCTTTTTCTCCTGTTCCCTCCCTCTTCTCAGCAATGACGCCTTTGGAACGTCTGTGGATGGTTCTCCACACACTGAGCTCTGAGGACAGCAAAGAACCTGCTTCCTCCTCCAGCAACTCCTCCTGTCCTTACTTAGGTGTGATTTTCAGAATTTCCAAAGTGGGGACTATATCAATTGTGTTTGTTTGGCATCGATTTCTAGTTTAATTGCACTGTGGTCGGAGCCCACATTCCAGGATTTAAACTGCCTGGTATATAGTGAATTTTTGAAAACGTGTTGTGTGAGTGGGTGTTGTGGCATAGTAGGTAAAGTTTGCAATGCTGGCATCCCATACCAGTGCACATATGAGTCCTGGCTGCTCCACTTCAATCCAGCTCCCTGCTAGTGGCTTGGGAAAAGCAGCGGAAGATGACCCAAGTGTTTGGATTTCTACCATCCATGTGGGAGACCTGGATGAAGCTCCTGTCCCTGGCTTCAGCCTAGCTCAGCCCTGGTCGCTGCAGCCATCTAAAGAGGAACCGGCAAATAGAAGGCCTTTCTCTCTCTCCCACTCCCTCTTTCTCTATAACTCAGCATTCAAATATATAAATAAATCTATATAAAAAAAAACCATTTGTATCTATTTAAAAAGGAAATCTATTTAGTAGTTGGCTGCTTCTATATTTGTTAATTAGTTTATTTAAATAGTTTGTATCACTTCTGATTTTTTCTGCTTTAAAAATGTATTGAGAAATATATATATATCTATTTTAACAATTACTTTATTTACTTGAAAGAGTTACAGAGAGAGGTAGAGCCAGAGAGAGAGAAGTCTTCCATCCAATGGTTCACTCCCCAAATAACTGCAACGGCTGGAGCTGCGCTGATCCGAAGCAGGAGCCAGGAGCTTCTTCTGGGTCTTCCACGCGGGTGCAGGGACCCAAGGACTTGGGCCATCTTCCAACTGCTTTCCCAGGCTATAGCAGAGAGCTGGATTGGAAGAGGAACAGCCGGGACTCGAACCGGTGCCCATATGGGATGTCGGCGCTGCAGGCTGGGGCTTTAACCCACTGTGCCACAGCGCTGGCCTCGAGAAATATATTTTAAAACTTTAAGCTTGCAAACTTGTCTTTTTTTTCCCTTAAGTTATGACAATTATTTCTTTTTAAATTTTGAGACAATATTATTAAGTATACCAAATATAAGTTTAGAATGTTTATGTCGTCCTTTCTTTTATTTAGAGTTCAAGGAAGCTTTTAAGACATCATCCTTTGGAGATCTTTTTATATTTTATAAATTTCTTTAAGCGATCTGACAAGCTTTGTCTTTTTTAAAAAAAGAATTATTTTATGTATTTGAAAGGCAGAGTTATATATAGAGAGGGAGAGACTGAGAGAAAGAGAGAGAGAGAGAGATCTTCCATCTGCTGGTTTACTCCCCAAGTGGCTACAAAAGCCAAGACTGGGCCAGGCTGAAGCCAGGAACAGGAGCTTATTCTGGGTCTCCCACAAGGGTACAGGAGCCCAAGCACTTGGGCCATTTTTCCTGTGCTTTCCTAGGCACATTAGCAGGGAGCTGGGTCAGAAACCAAGCAGCTGGGACTTGAACCAGTGCCCATCTAGGATGCTGGCATCACAGGCAGCGGCATACCCAGATATGCCACAATGCTGGCCCCAAGACCATCATTTTTTAATTTAAAATTTTATTCCATTTTCATTTAATGCAATTACTGGAATATTTAAGCTCAAAACTAACATCTTACTAATTTCCTTCTGTTTTTTCTACCTGTTCCATGTTCCTTTTCCTCCATTTGTTACTTTGCTTTGAATTTTGTTAAAGATTTATTTATTTGAAAGGCGGAGTTACAGAGAGGCAGAGGCAGAGAGAGAGAGTGAGAGAGAGATCTTTCATCTGCTGGTTCACACCCCACATAGCCACAATGGCCGGAGCTGTGCCGATCTAAAGCCAGGAGCCAAGAGCTTCTTCTGGGTCTCCTACGTAGGTGCAGGAGTTCCAAGGACTTGGGCCTCTTCTACTGCTTTCCCAGGCCATAGCAGAGAGCTGGATTGTAAGTGGAGCAGCTGGGACTTGAACCTGTGTCCATAAAGGATGCCGGCACTGCAGGCGGCGGCTTTACCCACTATATCACAGTGCCAGCTTCTGGATTCATTTTTTAAAATCATCCTTTTGGAGCCAGCGTTGTGGCATAGCTATTAAACTGACACCAGCATCCCATATGGGCTTCAGTTCAAGTACCAGATGCTCCACTTCTGATCCTGCTCCCTGCTAATGTCCTGGGAAGGAAGCAGAAAATGGCTTTGGTGGTTGGGCTCCTGCACCCATGTGGGAGACCTAGATGAAGCTCCTGGCTCTTGGCTTCAGCCTGGCCCAACCTTGGCAGTTGCAGCCATTTGGGGGAGTTAATCAACAACAGTTGGAAGATACTTCTCTCTCTGTCTCTCCCTCTCTCTCTAATTCTGCCTTTCAAATAAATAAATCTTTTTTTAAAAAAGCATCCTTTTGTCTTGATAATCATACATTCTATTTTAACCTGGTAGTTACCCACTCTATTTTTGGTAGTTTTACTAGAGATTATAATATGTATCCTTAACTTATTAAAGTCTAAAATACATTAGTACTTCATTATTTCCAGATAATACCGTAACCTTAGAATTCTTTAACTCCATCCTGTCTCCCTGAAAATCTTATGCCATTGTTGTTATGTATTTTGATTCCATTTATGTTTAAACTTTGATTATTGTTGACATATACAGCTAATATTAACTTAACCTTCATATTTGCATTTTCTGTTGCTCTTCTTTCCTTCATCTATGAACTTCACCTGGGATTATTTTCTTTCTACCTAATGAACAGTTCATTCCTCCAAGCTCTCCAAACATATCCAACAATTATCTATTACACTGTATATTTATTTGTATATTTTCATATATACATATATAAATCCACAGTATATTTTTTAAAGATTTATTTATTTATTTTAAATAAATAAATAAATAAATAGTTATAGGGTACCAGCTGGGTCTGGGCCAGGCCAAAGCCAGGAGCTAGGAGCTAGGAGCCAGGAGATTCTTCTGGATCTCCCACATGGGTAGCAGGGGCCCAAGCACTTAGACCATCTTCTGCTGCTCTCACAGGCCATTAGGAGAAAGCTGTGGATCGGAACTGGAGCAATCAGGAGAAGAACTGGCACTCACATGGGATGCCAGGGTCCCAGGAAGTGGCTTTACCCATTACACCACACTGTCCACCCTATCAAGTTTTTGTTTCTAAAAATAACTATTTCATCTTCATTATTGAAGATTATTTTTGCTGGGCATAGAAATCCAGGCTGATAGGGTTTCTTTCTAAATGTGCTTTGCTTCCTTTTTTGTTTTTATCTATTTTCATTTTATTTGAAAGGCAGAGAGACAGAGAGATCTCCCTCCTATTGGTTCAGTCCCCCAGAGCCTACAATAACCAGAGCTGCCCCAGGGTGGCAGGTCTCCCACATTGGGGCAGGAACCCAAGTATGTGAGCCAAGACCTCCTGCCTCTCAGCATGTGAGTTAGCAGGGAGCTGGATCAGAAGCAGAGGAGGGGCTTGAACCCAGGCATTCCAATATGGGATGTGGGCATCTCAAGCAGCAACTGAACCACTGGGCCAATGCCTGCCCCAAGCAGGGAATTTTTGGTTTGTCCGTCTCTCTCACTGTATCTGACCTAACCTCCAATTATCGATGGAACCACAGTTTTGGTTCTTCCAGGAAAAAAAGACGTCATGAGCATCTCATTATATTTCAATGAACACTAACTCTACATTTCTTTAAGTTGGAGTGGACGCATGTAATTATGGATCCCCACTCAGCGGAAACCACACTCTTCTCCCACCTCTGACCTGGTAGACATAGCTCAGAACAAATAAAGTGGATCATAACATTTGGAAGTTTAAAAGAAGCGAGAAGTCACAAAATGCAGACCTGCAATTGGCAAGAGGTGATGTTCAAAGCAAAACCTGGATGTCTGCTGAAATTCTCCAAGCTACAAGGATGGTTCTGGTTTTCTCTCTCTCTATCATCATCATCATCATCATCAACAACAACAACAACAACACGTTCATCCTTTTCTTCTGTCGACAAGTGTTTTCAAAGTTCTGATAAGTGCTAGATACTGTAAACCATAAAACACCAGACGTGGACTCCGCGTGCACGAAGCGTCCAGTAGGGAAGGTACCAGGCATACAACTACCAGAAACACATGGAGACCCTTTAAAGCATGCATGGACAGAAATCCCGCCCGGGTTAGGGAAGAAGAGGGTCATTTGAGGGAAGCGAAGAGGTTAAGGCAGGAAAGAACCAAAAGACTCCAGAAGGCAGCATTTGAGCCGCACTTGTAAGCAAAGAAAGAATTTCGACGAATAAGATGGTGATGACTGACAGGTGACACGCCTTCCTGGGGAACACAGTCCAGCAAGGGATCGGCTAGTACTGCTGTGTGGATGAATCACGTGTGCAAAATAGCAGCGAGAACAGGAGTCAAAGCCAACCCGCAGGCGGCCTTGAGCGCCGCGCCCAGGAGCTTGGTCTCAGACAGGTGCCCCGCTGAGGAGGACGGCACCTGCTACCCGTGGTGGGAGACCAGCTCTGGGCCAGGCCCTTTGCCAACCGTTGTAGACAATCCCCCATCCCGGCATCCTGACCCTTGTACGATTTAGCGAAGGCGCCGCCCCACCGCTTTCCTCGACAGACATGCCCGTTGCCTTCTCCAGACTGTGTTCTGGACGTGGCTCGGGGTGGCACCGGCCCCGGATGAGGCAGATCCCTATCCATCTCGCAGCGCCTGAGTAACTGGCAGGACCCGGGCCACCGCCACGGCTGAGGGGAGACTGGTTTCTGCTGCAGCTGCCCTAAGGTTGCAGAGGGTGGCAGCGCGCCCCGCCCACTCCCACCGGATTGGCCGCTGGGCTCCGGCCGCTGGAGGGGGCGGGGTTCTGCCCTCGGAGGGGCGGGGCCGCGGCTGGGCCCGGGACTCTCGGCGGCCGAGAGCCCAGAGCCGGGCTGCCCCGGGCAGAAGGCTGCAGGCCGCGCCCAGGCTGAGTTTCCCGCCCGCTTTCCGCCGCCCGCGCCGCGCGTGCTGCTGTCCGGCATGCTGCGTGGGGGCGGACAGGCGCTCCGGCGCTTCTCCTCCAGCCCGGTGAGTCCCGCCCGGCCGAGCGTCCCGGCTGCCACCCTGCCCTGGTTTGCAGACCCCGGGGCGGCGAGGTTGGGGGAGGGCAGGGATGCTCAGACTGCTCAACGCCAAAGCAGCGATTTTAAAAGTGGGAGACTTCAGACAAGGGTCCTGGTGGGTCGCTGTCCCGCAAGCCATTGTCTTCGAGACCCGTTTGTTGAACGCGTCGGGTCTGGCTGGGTTGACAGGGTGGGCACCGCCGCTCGGAGTCTGCTTCCTCCCAACTGTGACATTCCCTGGATGCAGCCGTAGCGGCGGGGGCGAGGCCGCCAGGTCCTCCTTGGGGGCGCGGGAGGTGCGCGCGCTCGGGACTGGCACGCAGGGCCCGTGCAGATAATGGCACTCGCAGTTGATGGCTGCACGCGCAGTGTTACCGAGCTGGGCTGAGGACGCCACGGATTGTAGGACTCCCAGGCGCTGCAGGGCCAGCCACGCTGGAACATTGTTGCTCTGCAGCGCTAGAAGCGAGCCTGGGCCCAGCCCCGCCACTTGGAATTGCATCAGCTGCTCCCGAAATGGAAAAAGACACGTTGCAGGCAGAGCCGCCTTCAGCACTAGGGGGCCTCGGGAGAGATGCCCCGGCGGCGTCCAGGCAGACCCCACGTTGTTTAGGGAAACAAACAAAAAACTCCATCCCAGGCACGTGCTTTTGCTCATAGGAGAAGTGGTACTTGCTGTTACAGAATTGCCTTTTCATTAATCGCCTCTGCCATCTGTACACCTGCATCTACTGTGTCCAGATGTGAAATCCCTAGGGGCAGAGAAAAGACTTGAGTAGCACCAGGAACTGACCCAAAGGTGCATAAACAGGAAAGCTGTTGTCCCCCTGACAAACCCAAATACTGAGACTTCCTTTTGCTGCTTGTGATCATTTCTTGATACTTTGAGGAGTATTTGACTGTTTTTTAAGTGGGGGGAGGGTGGAGACTGCTCTGCCAGCCAGTGCTTGGGCCTCCTCCTTAGCTTTCCTGACCACGTGGCAGGAGGGGACTTGGGCTGCTTGGTGCAGAGAGCAAGGGGCTTGTGCCTCAGTGTTTTGTCCACCTGCTCTGTGAACGCTTTGCACTGAACTATCTACTATGGAAAGCAGAATGAAAAGATCTGCACGGTGGGACTGGCGTAAGGTTTCAAGACAAACTTCCCAGGTGACAAGTGGCATAGCTGGGGAAGCCCCTGGCATGGTCAGGGTGTGTCCTCAGGAGTACCTGTGGAAAATCAGTGACAGATACAGCTGGGAAGAACACAGGTTCCTCACTGGGAGAATTTGAAATGTTTTACCCTATAGAAAATGAGGATCTATCCTTTGGACTATGTTCTGTAAGAATTCTTCAAAATCAAACAGATACACGACTGGTGGGAATATAAAATGGTACAGCCACCTTGGAAAACTGGCAATTTTTTACATAGCCAAACCCGTAGCTATCATATGACCCAGCAGTCACACTCCTGGGTGTTTACCTAAGAAAAATGAGACCTGTGTTCACACAAAAACAAGTTTAAAAATGTTTGCGAGGCTTTTGTGTGTGTGTGTGTATGAAACTGGAAAGAGCTTATGGTCTCAGCTACTGACAGAGCAAATAAATTGTGGTATGTCCATCCATATGGTAGGACTCTACTTAGATCCCACTCTCTGCTGTGGCCTGGGAAAGCAGCAAGATGGCCCAGTCCCTGGGCCCTGCACCTGTGTGGGAGTCTGGAGGAAGCTCCTGGATCCTGGCTTCAGATTGGCACAGCTCTGGCCATTGTGGCCATTTGGGGAGTGAACCAGAGGATGGAAGACCTCTCTCTCTGTCTGTCTCCTTCACTGTCTGTAACTCTACCTCTCAAATAAACAAATAATTTTTTTTTTAAAAAAAGACTCTACTTAGGGAGGAAAAACATGAATGAACTACCAATACACACAACACAGATGAAACTCAGATACATACACTAAGTATAAGGAACCAGACTTCAAAGGCTACATGTTTTATTATTTCATTCATCTGACATTTTGGAAAGGGTAAAACTATGGAGATAGAAATAAAGGTCACTGGGGAAGTGTGTGGCACAGCAGGTTCTGCCACCGTGTGGGATGGCCACATCCCATATCAGAGTGCCTGGGATTGAGTCCTTCTGATCCAGCTTCCTGCTACTGCACCTGGGAGGCAGCAGATGATGTCGACCCAACCACCTCAGTTCCTGCCCCTGTGGAGTTCCTGGCTCCCAGTTTCATCCTGGCCCAGGCATTTGGGGCGTGAACTAGAGGATGACGATCTCTCCCTCCCCCTCTCTGTGTGTGTCTCTCCTTCCCTCTGTCACATTGCCTTTTGAATTAATTAATAAATTAATAAAGCAAAAAGATCTGTGGGCTTCAGGGGCTGGGATAGGCAGGATTGATTATAAACAGGCATAATAACTTGGGCAAGTGATGGAATGGTTCTAGAGCTTGATTATGGTAATGTTTACGGAACTATGTGTTTGCCAAAACTCACAGAACAGGACACTAATTAGGCATGCTAATTGTACCCTTGTCTTACTCTGTTTGCTATTGTGATAATGAAATATCTGAGGCTGGGCACTATATAAAGAAAAGAGGTTTGTTTAGCGTATAGTCTGGAGGTTTGGGAGCCTGTGCTGGCATCTTCTTGGCTCTAATGAGAGCCTTACAGTGTATCACATTGATATAGCACTTCCTGTGTGCCAGGCACTAATCCAAGTGAAAATGTGTACAGTCCTTTAATCCTATCACATCCCAATGTAGGAACTATAATTATGCCCATTTTACAGATGAGGAAAGTAAGACCCAGAAAAGTTAAGTAACACTCTCAGTCTCACAGCCAAAAAGGATAAAACAACAAGAAAGAAATGGTCCCAGCTTTCCAGGAATTTGTATATTAGTGGGACAGACTATTAAACCTGAATTTTTTAGGTAAAGAATGATACATAATACATCAAATAATGCAATACACCAAAAGCAATACATAAATGGACAATAAAATATGAAAAGACACTCAAGCAAGAAATGCAAATTAGAACAAGATATCCGTTTAACTTATCAAGTTGGCAAAAATTAGAGTTTTACAATATTGTGTGTAGGCAGGGGTGAGAAAACAGTTCTTCCAATACTCTAAAAGGGAATTTGATGCTATCCATTAACATTTAAGTTTTGAAAATGATCTTGCAGTTTCACTTATATGTGTCTAACTGAGAAAAACATTTCCACGTGGGCACAGAAAGCAGGTACGTGAATATCCATTGCCATGTTATTTGTATCAATGACATAGTACATGCCAAAATATTTCTCAATGGAGACATGAACAAATCAGTTGAGACATATCTACACTGTGGCAGTTTTAAAGAATGAACATGGGGCCTGTGTTGTGGTACTGCAGGTTAAGCTGCTGCCTGTGACACTGACCTCCCATATGAGCACCAACTGGAGTCCCAGCTGGTCCTCTTCCAATCTAGCTTCCTGTTAATGCACTTGGGAAGGCAATGGATGATGGCCTTGAGCACTTAGGCCCTTTCTATTCCTGTGGGATACCAGGCTGGAGTTCCAGACTCCTGGCTTTGGGTTGGCCTAGCCCTGGTCATTGAACCCATTTGGGAAGTGAACCAGGGATAGAATTTCTCTCTCTCTCTCTCTCTCTCTCTCACTCTGTGTGTGTGTGTGTATGTGTTCCTCTCTCTCTCTCTAACTCTGCCTTTTTTTCTTTTTAGATTTATTTATTTGAAAGGCAAAGTTACAGAGAGAGGCGAGAGACACACAGATCTTCCATCTGCTGGTTCACTCCTCAAATGGCCAAAATGGCCAGGCTGAGCCAGGCCGAAGCCAGTGCTTCTTCCAGGTCTCCCATGTGGGTGCAGGGACCCAAAGACTTGGGTCAACTCCACTGCTTTCCCAGGCTCATTACCAGGGAGCTGGGTCATAAGTGGGGCAGCCGGGTCTCAAATCGGTGCCCATATGGGCTACCCGCATCACAGGCGGAGGCTTGACCTGCTATATCATGATGCTGGCCCCTAAAATAAATCTTAAAAAAAAAGAAAAAGAAAATGTGCCAGCAAAAATTAGGGAACATAACTGACAGTATTATTTCATTTTCATTTATATGATCGTCATTTTATTTGAAAGGCAGAGAGACAGAGAGATTTTTCCATCTGCTGGTTCATTCCCCAAAAGCCTACAACAGCTAGGGCAAGGCCTGGATAAAGCCAGGAACCTAGAACTCCATGAGGGTCTCCCACATGAATGGGAGGGACCCAAGAACTTGAGCCATCATCTGCTGCTCCCAGGGTGTGCATCAGCAGGAAGCTGGATAGGAAACAGAGTAGCTGGGATTCGAATCAGGCATGCCAATATGCGATGCACGCGTCCCAGGCAGCAACTCAATCAACGTGCCACATGCTTGCCCCTCTTTTCTTTATTAATAAGGAGATTGTGGGGCTGATGCTCTGGCATAGTGGGTAAAGCTGCCACCTGCAGTGCTGGCATCCCATATGGGTGCCGGTTCGAGTCCCAGCTGCTCCACTTCCCATCCAGCTCTCTGCTACGGCCTGGGAAAGCAGTAGAAGATGCCCAACCCCTTGGGCCCCTGCACCCATGCGGGAGACCCAGAAGAAGCTCCTGGCTTCAGATTGGCTCAGCCCCCCACCTTTACGGCCATCTGGGGAGTGAACCAGCAGATGGAAGACCTCTCTCTCTCTGCCTCTCCTTCTCTCTCTGTGTTACTCTTTCAAATAAATAAATAAATAAATTTTAAAAAATATTATAGGCAAATACTAAGCACTGAAGTCACGGCTGTGCGCTCCAGTCCTTTACTCAAAGTCCTTGATCTGTCCCCTGGTCACCACCCCCACCCCTTTAGGCTCTGTCTGGCCTCCGGGTTCTGGGCATCCCCCTCGTGGCCTCACCTCTGAATAGGCCCCAGTCTTGACAGCCATTTTTAAAAATCTTTTTGTCTTTCTTTATGGTGGGAAAAAAAAAA